TTGTTTCAGCGAAAGATTCCTTTTCGCGGCGGGCGCCTTACCAAATGCTTACTTGTCTTTTTGCTAAACTTTGTTGGTTTTTCATCAGGGGGGTCCAGGAAAATATTTGCGTACGTTATTTTCATTTGCTTATTTACTAAAAACTTATCAGAACCTATTGGCTGAATTTAGTAATTTAAAATTTAGCTCATAAAGTGATAACACTGAAATCAGAAGTGTTGCGCAAATTTTAAAAATTCGATGCATTGCTGAGTAAAACTGTTTGTTGCAGCTGTTTAGAGCATCTACGAATGGTTTCGCTCGCTTTCCTTTTGATCTCGTCGAACATCGCCTGCCAAAATAAAGAGTGCCTATAAAGTGTGAAAAATGAGTGCGGGCATGAAAGATTGTTTTTCTGTTATACTCTCACCTTCAGTCAGGCGCAGGGTTGCCACTGACGAAAAAAAATATTTACCATCCACTTGAAAAAGATTTACGAATTCTGGAAAATATCTACCAATAAATATATTCAACAATTTTTATTCTACTTAAGGCCATTTTTAATCAAAAACTTATTGTGGAAAAGCAACAATAATTTGACAAAATTGTAGAAGTGATAGCTATTTCGGAAATCACCACATTTCCTCATCAGACTTCTTTCAGTCTGAAGAAGAACCGAAAGAAGTCTGATGAGGAAATGTGGTGATTTCCGAAATAGCTATCAACCAATTTTTCAAACTATTGTTGCTTTTCCTCAATAAGTTATTCATTAAAAACGGCCTCAGGCTCAATAAAAATTGTTGAATATAATTGTTATAAGGCCATAAAATACAAAAACAAATCTACAAATAAGTTTTTTTTTAGTTATTTTAATAAAAACTATAGTTTTGTTCAATTTCAATAAAAATAAAATTTTTTTATTAAGGGACTTTTATTTAACTATTGATATGGTATTTGAAATCATATTAATGGCATTCTCTCGGTTTCCTTCAACCAAAAGCGATGAAACTAAAGTCAACATCGAAATTTCAACATCTGAAAAGACTTCACTTGAGTTATTATAGGCGAATAGAGTGACTCAATAAATCCCTTGGTGATTTTTTTTTTTATACTCAACGTTCTTCAAGTACAAATTTTTTGCGTTTTTCGTTTGCATTAGAATATTGTTTGCAATTTTACCAATCCTATAAAAATCAAGGATTCAAGCTATATACAACATTTGGAAAACTTCATAAAATTTTAGTGTAAATTTCAAGCTTTTTAATCTGAATTTTTGGAAAATTTTCGGCATGCAGTTTTATAGCCCATGGAATTTTAGTATACCATCAATGTGTAGCTAAGAATTACCGTTGATTTTTTTTCTGTCGGTCTTTTGTGGTTTTTTTTCATTTAACAATTGCCATTTATAAAAACTGGAGTTTTTTTATTTTTTTTGCGAACAATCAAAATGTGTAGTTACATACCTGTCCATTTTTACTTTTTATTTAAAAAATCATTTAAAATATTTAGGCAATCAAAAGCTCCTCAGAATTCTGATAAAATGAGTTTTGAATGGATCACCTTTTATCGATATACATTAGAGCGGGTCAATTTGTATGGGAAATTTTTTCGACTATAGGCGCATAGCATAGGAGGATTGTAATTCTAAGCAAATTTTCCAAAGAAAACATTGTTCTAAAATCAATTTGCCACATTGCGAAAATACGCTTATTTAACTTAGCATTTTGCTGTAGTGTCATATAGAATTGCTAAGTCTAAATCGGGATAGCTTTGGCCCAGTTATTCAAGTTTTTCTTAAACAAATCTTTAAAAAAAGTTAAAAACAGCATCAAAAATCTTATTATTACGATTCCGTTGAAATGGTTTTTATGTAGGTACATATTTTTATACAGATTTTTTAAGGTTAAACTGTTTTGCCATCTGAGTGCATTTTTTTGAAAAAGTTCTTTAAGAAACTATTTTAATGCATAAAAACTCCAGTTTTGGACGTATTTTCAAATCGCTCCAGCTCACGTAAATCTTAATATTTTTTCGAAATATTTTGGTGGACGTCTTCTAATATAATAGATTTTGTAATCCCGGCGGAAAAACCTCAACATTTTTTGGTGATGCAGTCTAATGTACATACATACATATGTACATGTGTATGCATGTAGTTTGTATTGAATTTTAGTTGTATGAAAAATATTTTTCAAGGATAATTAAAATATACGTTTTTTTATTTTAACACGTAAGAAAACGTGACAATTTTCTTTGTTGCGCCCTCTAGCGGAAGTTTTAAGAAAAAGATAAGTCCTTGAATGCATTTCTCATACCAAGAACCCCATAATGCATGTTTTTATACAAAATTTACGACTCAACATCAAAATGCCCAAATATACCTACACAAAACTTTGCAGTAAAGCGTTCGAAAATTAATGAAATAAAGTAGGTAGACTACACTTTTAATTAATTACTTAATACCAATGGTTTTTACACGCCATTCCCGCCCAACCGACACGAGGGGCGCAGTCCGCATGACGTACGGCATGAATAGATATGCCAAAGACAGTATTTCAATTACTGAGAGTGGAAATGATAGTTTTCTTTATAGCAAAAATAGAGTGCGATATGAGACATTCTTTTTCATATCGGACACCAAATTTGGTGTCACACCTTCGATTGGCTTAAAATTTTTTTTAAGGGTTTTATACAGGAAATAAGCTAACACGTGTTCGAGGAATTTTTTTCGATTTTTTCTTTGGAGATATGATCTGTCAAACTTTGCAGTTTTTCGTGATTCTGACTAATCATGTACTCCTTCAAATCGTTATATCTCGCGTTCTGCCCACCGTAGAGACTTCCTCTTAACGTCGTTTTAAAGCTAAAGAAGATTGTCCTAAAGCTAACTTAGCTGTTAATAGTTGAACTTTTTGGAGTTGAATTGCATAGTGAAGACCAGTAAATTGGGGATTTATGATTATACCGTCGTAATCTTTGTTTAATCCTCTATAAGAAACGTTGTTAAAAAAATGGGGTTTTGACAAGAACTATTTTTAAATTATTTTTCTTTATGACGAGATGGTTTATTTTTTGAGAATGAACAATTTTTTGTAATTTTTTTTCAAAACTTATGTTGAAATATATTTAGTAAGGTGTTAAACATCGGGTTTTGGAAAGAATTTTAATTTTATTGCAGATTCCGATAGAATACATATGGTTGTTTCCTGAAAAGTGTCAACCAAGAAGAAAAAAATAGAATTTTGCCTGGACAAAGTTTATAGATGGCAGTCGATAACTACATATTTTGTCTTTCATCCACCAAAATATTGGACTAATTGGTCCATTCCATTTAAAGATATTTGGGTTTTCCAACTACACTTTTAATTTTTATTTTTTTTCGGAGATACTTTCCAGAAATCCTTCATAATTGTAGCACACGATTAAAAAGAATTGAAAATCTATACGAAAATTTAGTACAGCTTATGTTCTGTAAGCCTTACAATAAAAACGTACAACGTAAAAATATATAAGGAATGGTCCAAAGTTAAATTACAAATTGCACCTTTTTTCAAGCGTTCGGACGCAAAATATACTTTACATGCAAAAAAATAAAATTACATTGACAACAACAACCACGCTGTCGAGTTTAAATAGCGGCAAATCAG